TATTCGGTTTATTGTGGAAAAGTATATTCTGTATAAAATCAAGGGCAAACTGTTCCCATGGCAATCTATCCAAGCTATGCTTTAAAGAGCGAATGAAATGGTTTGGTGAATGCACTTTTCTTTCCTTTGTTAATGTATTTCCTACTGAAACAAAAAGTTGGGATGACACATTTCAAATGGCTTCCTTCTTCTTTTTTTTACTTTCCAATAGACTTAGAGATAGTTCACCAACAAAATACAATTTCTCATGTTTTGTTACATACAAGTTTGTAATTAAATGTTCCTCATTTAAAGGTGCTAAATGTAACTTTTCTTCTAAAATGAATCCTTTTTTTATTGCCTGTGTGTGAAGGGGTTGTTATCACACATTACAGTGATCCACTTGTCGGGTTTTGCTATTACCTCTGAAGGCCAGTATTCCTATTTCTATGTGAAGTCTCCGGGTCAGATTTTCTGCGAAATCCATCGGATGTGACGTGCATGCGCGCTCCCGAGCCTCTCTCCTTTTTATATACAGTCTATGCGACGGCACTGCAGCTGACGACATGGAGTCTGATAACACCCAAAAACTCCTGCCTCCAGCACAACACAGACTCCAACACAAACTCCACATAAATATAAAAAACAAAACAAAAATGTATCTGCTGAAGCTCGTCAGGCCAAACGTGAATCGGATCGACTTAGGACGGAAACACGGATCAACATCGGCAGAGCGTTTGAATTATAGAGAGACCTCCTGAAGTTTTCAGATATGCTGAAATAAATAATGGTAAACTGTAATGAAATAGCAAGGTAAACTACAACATACATGAGACATGAAATGAATAGGCTACAACAGACTGTTCCAGGATAACAAAAAGTAGGTGCTTTAGGATGTAACTTTTATTTAATGTACTAGATCTACTGTCTAACGTCACTCATCCCACTACTATCATATTGTTTATAATACACATTTCCAGACACGTTCAGTACAGTAATGTTACTTCCTACGATCTTACTGTTACACTGAAATTGTTCAGTCTAGTTCACTAGCCGTTTTCGTTATCATATTATACATTCACCTATGTTGACATTGCTGCCTGATTGTGAAAGATACACGAATAGTTAGTGAAATGCCTTGTTATGCTAGATAACACCACATGTCGGCTAAATGCAGTCAATGTAACGTTATCATGGTACGAGCATGGAGCATTAGTTCAACGTTAAGCTGATAAAAGTAGTCTATTATAACGTTGCAGTGGGAGTTTACATGAGTTTCCAGCATGTTGTGTGATGCTTTCTCCGGTGTGTTGAAAGTCTCAGTGTGGCCGGTACCATGAGTGCTCGCTCTTGTGTTCGAGCACGCGCAAGAGCACGAGCGCTCTTGTAAAAATTGGTTCCAATCTGAAACATCACCGATAGAGGCCGCTAAAAATACATATAGCACCTTTAATTACAAACTTGTATGATTTTTTTTTACCATGGTTTTCAACATGATAGGCTATTTTCTACAAGTGGTATTAGGTGGGAAATGCTCATTCAATACTCTTAAAAATAACGGTTCCAAAATGGGGTTTTCACAACGACGCCATAGAAGAAACATTCTGGGTTCCCCAGAGAACCTTTCATTGCACAGTTCTTATGCAGACAATTTTTCTCCTGGTGTAAAGAACATTTTAATAATCCAAAGAACCTTTTTCCACTACAAGGAATCTTTTCTGCAATGGAAAGGTTCCATGGATGTTAAAGTTACTTCATGGAATCTATGCCAATAAAGAACCTTAAGCTTAAGAGTGTAAAGACAGATTTGCATTCACCCTTCCAAACAAGGTGATTTATTAATATTTATGATCCATTTTCTTCAAAGAAAAGACGGTTTTATATTTGGGATCTCAAATCTTTAAAAGTGCACAGGTTTATAGCGACAAAGCCAACAGCTAAGATACATTTATTTCACGAGGTCTTTACAGGATGTTTGACCGTGTCCTTCTGAAAACCATCAAAGCATGAGAGAATAGACCAGAATACATCATGACCTCTAGAGAATAACACCACAACTATTTCCAGCCATGTATAAATAAAACAGGACAGCCTACATTGTTCAAGCTATGAAACATGGCATGAGTTTCTATGAAAATGTGGGTACCTGAGTGTGACTGCATCATATAGGGCCACTTTGGTAGTTGCAGCCTCACGAAAGCTATAATGATGTCCAACACGGGCCTCTTGGCTGCTTGCTAATGAATCTTATTTGGATTGAGTCATTCAGCCTAAACAGAGTGTGGTTTCCCGTTTGCGTAAGTCAACGGTGACGGGAGACTCTTTGACATGTTTATAATGGAAGATGTGCTCGTCGGCCCAAATGGATCCTCTCCGTGTTGGCTGCGAGCGTAGCCACGTGTCAAACAGTGACACACTAGGGACATGAAGTGGCCAGCTGCACTAAAACAAAACCACAACCTCCAACAGTGATACAAATTGATCAATTTAATCGGCTCACTGGGCCAATTGCACATCTTTAGCACCGGACACATTCATTCACACAGCATGCACACAAACAGACACTAAATCACACCTCAGGGCGGCCGCTAACACCACAGAGCACACACTTACACACACACACTTATGGGGAACATCTGCAGATCTGCGTGTATGTAACCTTTATTTGTGAGTCACATCAGAGCCAGCAAAGTAACACACATACACTTGCACCAACATGCATTTTTACTCATACTCCTCTAGTTATGAATCACTGGCTCTACTCACAGAACGGCATTGTGACAAAGACAGTTCAGAGAAGAAAAAGTTGTGCAAATGCATCATCTCTCGTTAATCTACTCAGCTATGTGCAGTGAATTTAGTTCCCTCCAAAAAGCACTGGACTTTCTCTGTCTCCCTCTATCTTTGAGACTAGAAAGCAATAAGTTGGGAGTGAGTGATTGCGAACCCTGAGGACCCGAATCAACATGTCACAGGAGTCTTGAATCAGATAACAGTCACAGGTCTGTTGTCCTCACGAAACCACCTTCACTCGTCTACACCTCATCTCCACTTTAATAATCACTATATGAACAGTCTCAAAGTTGTTTCAAGAGCTCTGATTAGCCTTTCCCATGGAACTCACAGCCCAGAAACCCTCGTTTTCTCACGCAAGACACTTGCAGAGATCATCTAATGTCTGACAGGCATGAATAGCCTGACCGGGACCCAGAACAAATCCCCCTGAAGAGATCAGCCACGCACCAATAATGAAAGTGACTTACAGCGAACGGACTCAACTAAAGATATTACTTTTATAAATTTGTAACCTGTAAACACGAATAGGTTATGGATTAGGTTATAAAATGTTAAATTAAGACACTTTGCCAAACTGATAAGATGAAAACTGTCTCTCTGGTAAACAAACACAGAAGCATAACAACAAGGGTGTCCATGGTTAAAAAAATGTTTAATACTAGTTTAATACTATGTTGAATAAATACTAATGCTATGTTTAATAAACAGCAGTTATATCAATAAACAAATTTATGAGAACACAAAGATAGATAGATAGATAGATAGATAGATAGATAGATAGATAGATAGATAGATAGATAGATAGATAGATAGATAGATAGATAGATAGATAGATAGATAGATAGATAGATAGATAGATAGATAGATAGGTCTAATTTATCAAGCTTTAACCAAGTGACAAATGTATGTGTCATGTCAAGTCAAGACACATTTATTATAGCACTTGATACAAAACAGATTGTTTTAAAGCAGCTTCAAAATATTAAACAGGTCAGAGTAATAGCAGGAATAATCAGCTTCGGAGTAATAAACAGGAATATAACAGAATCAATAATGCAAACTTCATCAAATATGAGTAATTCAAATTCTGCTGTAAATCAGCTCTACAAAGGCTTGATTTTATTTTTATTTGTTGCACATTATTAGGCGTCATGACCAAAAGACATGGGAAGCGGTTTGTCCTCCCTATTAAAAGTTGACATACAAACTAACTAATTTAGGTGCATTTTGTTATTTGCATTGTTTTATGTGTTGTCTGCGACTGCAACCCAGTCAGAACACATTTTAGTCTGCAGTTATGAACCACTACATCTGCTGAAAATGATCAACAATGTAAGAACTTCTCTGCTGTTAATTTTGCTGAAGAACCGCATCTATAGAAGACAATCACAATGCACACAGCCAAATGATGACACAAGACATCATATTTATGAGTATTTCTTGTTGTTTAAGTTTCACTCATAGTATCAAGTTCAGTGACAGAAATCCAAGGTATACCTTGAAGTTTGTGATGTTTTACATAATATACCATTCCCAATTGTGTAATACTCACAGTCCTGCTTGAGAATTTCACAATACCTGCAACTAGTAAATGGAAGAGGCTTTTGTCTTTACATGCACTGAAAGAGATTCATGTCATGACTGTACCTCCAGTGTTATGTGAACTATGTACATTAATTTGATTAAATGAAATTCCTGTGCAGGGCAGTCCACTCATCCTGAAAAAGAGTCATGCAGGCTTGAAGTTAATGGACAAAAACGTTGTTCTGTGTTTGACAACACTAGTAGTTCAAGCTGTCAGATGGCACCACGAGCACCTCAAGTTTCCCAGCTCATCCTGACCACATCACAACATCTGCAGAGCTCGTGCAGACTTACAAAACTCTTTAGACTTCAGTTTGTTTGTTTTTTTTAAACACACATTTTACAATCACATTGAATTCTAATGGGCTTTAATCTCTAATCTTCAACTTGAAGAACGTTACTTTGCATAGAAGACAACAACTTCATAGATAGTAGAACAGTTCTGGTTTTGTCTCTTCGCGATCGAGACTCAGACTCAACATCATGCTGCTCTGAAACGTGCATGCGCGTCTATGGAATGAGCATGCGACTGTAAACATGCTAAAACAATATTTTAACAAGGACCCTAAACTAGTCTTGCAATAATCCTGACACAATGTACACGTCAAAACTAAAGCAACGATAGAAACAAAGTGACATACCAGCGAATCTTCAGTAATGCTGAGGAAAACTTTCTTAGGGAGTTCACGGTAACGTTTCCTTCGGCTGATATAGTAAAAGGACCTGCGCAAAATCTTCTGTCAGGACAGTGATAACCGTGCGACAAACACCACGATTTTCGGGATGACAAAGCCTGTGACAGATCTCAAAAAGTTTTAAATACCTCTCCCGCTTTCTCTGTGTGTGTGTGTGTGTTTCAGTGGGAGGGGCCAGTAGGAGGAGGCTGCGATTCACATCTCAAGAATAATAAGAGGATGAAGTGGGCTTGAAAACCCATCAACTTCCGCAGCCATGATGACACGTGAGTTTACTTTTAAAATAATAATAATACATATTGTTGTTATTGTTATTATTATTATAATTATTATTGTTATTATTATTATTGCTATATGAAATTATAGGGTAGTTGACAGTATTTAAAAAATATCCATGTATTTTTTTTTTACATTTTGAAATATATAGCATATACATTTTTTTATATTTCCTTTATTAGCACTTTAATTTTTAATTACATTTTTTTAATTTTTAAACATAGCATATTCCATGAAGTCTCAATTAAAATGAGGTCATAAAAATGATATAAAGCTTAGTGTTAGAACAAATCTGTTAAAATTAGTTTGAAATGGAGTGTAATATCTCACACAATTTGCTGGCTCTCAGCATCTGCACTAACAAGCATTTACCTATTTTACGCTTAGGGCTATAACGCTGAAAATGTCTCTTTCTATTATGTGGAGGTGTCAGACTGTAAGACTGAATATTAATCTACATAGTAATCCTTCCACATTAGGCTATATACAGTAGCTATTAAAACCGAAATAGGCAAACTCACGTTCTTCCAAGCTTTAAAAAAAATGTCTTTTGTGTTAATGGTGCAATAGGTGATTCTCTGTAGAAACATGTTTGTTATGATGGTTGAAAGTCTACTCATATCTTGATAGCAATCATGTTAAGCGGTAGAAATATATTTTTATACATATATAAATCGTCTGTGGAAGGCTTATGACCATAAAATCATAATGAAATCCGGTCCGAATGAAATGAAAGCATGCGTTCCCTATCAGTCAACGTGTGTTTGCATACCACTGCGCAGCCTGTTCACGCAGACGTCATACATCATTTGCGCGTTTCACGTACGCTATGCACAGCGAGAATGGCAGGCAAACAGTTGTTTACATTCATTATTGTAGTAGTTACTCACTGTACTGTAAAGTTTTCTCACCGGGAATTAAACATAATGTAATCCAATAACGTTGTTTCTGGTTGTCTAGATTTGCAGGGAGGGTGGGATCGTATGCTTTCAATGCTATGGGCTAAAGTTAGTATTTCCCAGATTACCTATTGCACCTTTAATCATAGCAACATTTCCAAGATTCTCCATTCAGGAGCCATTTAGAAATTTAGGAGATTTTGCACTCCACACAAATTGGTTTTACATTTTAGAGAATTTTATAAATTAGATTTAACAACTTATTAACAACAATACAATTAATAATAGCCTACTGTACATTAAAAATAAAATAAAAAATAAAATAATTAAAAACAAAGTAAAGTGCCCATGTTGTGTAAATGTTAAAATATTCACTTTCCTTAATAACATGAACAAGCAACATTTGAAAAGTTAAAGTACATTCAAAAAGTTGATTTATTCATATTTTAACGCATTTTTGTTCTGTTGAGCAGTTTTACAATTTAATGAACACTATTATAAGGTTAATATTTTATTATTTCTACTTTATTCATTTGAAAGCCCTATATCCATGTGTGAGATGTTTCACTTTATACCTCATTTAAATAGGACTATTTCCCTTTTAAAGCAACACCAAGTAACTTTTCCTCTGCGGTCGCCCTACAGGTTGGAAGCGGAATTGTCCATTATCGCTGTCGTAAATAATTTAACCTACCGCAGCCTACTGTCGCACGCACGCTCGTTGTTTATCCAGCACCGGCTTTGGAATGAACGATGTCTACAGACAAGGTAGAGTGTGTTGCATGATTTCATGAAAGTATAATGTATTGCGAAATAATGACTATTGTAACGCTTGACGTAAAGCAAGTCAAATTTGTAGTTTTCTTATGTCTCATTAGAACTACAGAAATGCGACCCGATCTGGCAATCTTACATAGCTTGGTTAGCAGATATAGGACCGCAAAGCGAATCCAGAAGTGCCTTTCACCCTGTTATGACTTAATGAACCACTGAAACGATTTTGGAAACATTATTTTAAGGTAAAAAATCTTACTTAGTGTTGCTTTAAGAGTTTGAGCTATAGGCAGCGATTTATGTTTCTGTAAATGAAATACACAAAAGGTATGTGTCTCGCAAAGAGGAAAAATATGGACTACCAACATAGTCAGAGTGTGTGTAAAGCTGGGCAGGGCTTAGCCTTCCCCTGGCCACAGACTTGAGACTGGCGTAACTGCTGGTCTAGGATCAGTTCTCTCTGAAATAATTGCATTTTGGTGAAAAAGATTTAGCAAACTATCCAGTGCCTATCTGTGTTTGCTCTCTAAAGAGTGTCAAAGGTTTCTACACTAAACAATGCTGGGTTGTTTTAACCCAATTTTGGGTCAAGACAAAACCAGCCGTTGGGTTACATTTTTAAACTGCAGTTTTATTCCAACGATTGGGTTTGTTCATATGTGACCAACCCAGCATTTTTTAGAGTGTTTTGCAGCATTGAGCAATGAAGCCAATAGATTACCAACCAAACTAAAGCACACATTATTTCCATTAGTGTTGTCGTGAGTCGCTCTCTCGCTGATACCTGTGATTTTGGAGTTAATTACAAAAAATGCAATTCATCATAGTGCAAAAAAAAACCCAGAAAGCTAAAGCTTTTGTCAGGTTGTCATTTTGTAACTTTAAACATAATGTACCCAATGTGAGATCCACCAATCAGAGAGGTTCTTGAACCTAAATTTTTTTGATTGGATAAAATTAATGAATTTCATTAATTTCCATGTGTGCTTGAGCCCCCGTCTATGAGTTTGACCTCAGCCATAAACTAATCTAAGGTAGAGTGGTGTCAATGTCATCTACTCCAAGCACTATCGAATAGATAGAGTCAATACATCTCATTAGTATGTAGTTCCACGACCCTCAAAATTATCTACACATATTTTCAAAAATATATAGAATTAACTAAAATAATTCTGAAACAACTCTGCCTTATTTTCATAAACTCAGATTTTTTTTTTTTACAAAAGCTATCACTGAGATGGTATTTCTAATTTGAACCATTTAGGTAACTAATACACTTTCGCAACTCTTTAACTGATATGCACCCTTATAGGGTTAAATACAACGTTTTTACCCCCGTGACAGCATTTTGTACCTTTTTTTCTGAGAGTGTATAAATTCAGATCAGAATTTAGCTGATATGCAGCAATTCAAGACTTTATGAAAAATGCTGTTTTCATGAATTAAGATGAAATTCGGAGTGAAATTCAAACTAATATATTTTACCACACTAATATTACTTTCTCTGATATAGATATAGAACTAAATCAGATCTTCCGTTGTATGTGTTTTATCTTATCTTAAATGATTTAGTGATAGCAGTATCACTCTTTCATTGCCAACTGATTTGATTCAAGGCAAAGAACATGCTGTCCTGACTTAGACTGGCCTTTCCTTAAAGGGACTAACACCTCTTTCGGGACCAAAAGCTGTTTTTAGTTTACTAAAGAGTTGTTGATTGTGGGATTAACTAAGCCATTGACAATCAACCAGTAACTGCCATAAAAGAAGAATTGTATTGTCCTGTTGATTTCCATTTACAATTGCATTTGGTCAGCTGCATACATTTTTTAAACATGAACAAAGGAAAATGCAAGATCCTTTGTATGGTTGATGTGAGTTAAACTCCTTTACAGATGTATGTTTGTGTGTTTTTGTATTTTCAGGATATTTTTGTTTACTTTTTCTTTTCTTTTTTGCCTCTGCCTCCTCCCCTGGCTTGTTTTCCCGAACAAACAGACTTATGCTGTCTGACTGAAATGTTCCGCTCCGCTCTAAAGGAAATAGAAATGCATTACCATTGCTTACAGTGGAAATGTCAGAGTCGTGATTTGCCACTAATGAGACAGCACCCTTGCAAGATTGAAAACTTTGATTTGGAGCTTCTTGCTGTCTTGAAAACAGTGATATGCTTTTGAGTGTCAATGAAGATGTACTCAGAAGCTTCATGTCATTTTTCACTTCTCATGCATATGTATGCCTTAGAACCAGACCTACTCAAAGCATCCGCACAGACGGGGAGAGAGACGTGACAAAATCTAGTCCTGAACATGAATATCTGCCCTAATTCTTTGATTTCCTTTGTTTTGCTTGCATATGTGATCTTTGTCAAACCCTTTGCATTAAATTGTTCTTTAAAAAATGAAAAGAAAATAAGAAAACCATCTGTAGATTTTGTTTTTAACACAATACAACCAATGCATTGTAAAGCCTGACAATGCACTGGTTGTATTGCTTTTAAAAATGGAATGGCTCACCACATCTTCTAATAGCTGCAAAGACACATATATCCCTTCTCCCGTCTTGGTCATGGCCTGATCTCTCTCAATCTTTAGTTGTGAAAGTGCTTTCATGTATAACACTTTCTCATGTGAGAAGTGACCCATGAGGAATGTCGGGTGCTGAACTCTTGACCTTGGAGCCACATGGTATGATGAAGCCTTTCATCTGAAGTATGAGCAAATATAGGGGATGTTTATGTATAGTTACTTCAGATTCCCTTAAAGTTTTCTTAAAGACAAAAATGAGAATAAAACAAACAAACGTGAATCAACACATATGACATAAGTTATATAGCTCTCACTATTTATAAAAGCAAAGATAAACAGAGGACAGCGTTCACCCAATTTATTTATTTATTTTACCTTTTGGTAAATGTCATTACCATATGTAAGCTTATGCAGCACTGCAACCTAGAAAACATAATGGAAGTTTTTTTTTTATCCAATATAAGTCATTTGCTGCCCTCTTGTGGAAGGTTTATTTTGAATCATGTTTTTAATTTAGTGAAATAAAATAATAGGTCTGTCATCACTTTCTCACTCCCAAGTTGCTCCAATCAAATCCTTATGATTTTTTTTTAATTCAATATAATAATGTTCTCAGTCACCATTTACTTTCGTTGTATGGATAAAAGATGCAATGAAAGTGAATAGTGACCGAGGCTGTCATTGTACA